CCCTGATTCCATGGAATGTCATGTGCCCCTTAGGCTAAGAGGAGCCTGAGGGATCAGGGAAGAGCAGGGGAGCCAGGAGCTCCCTGAGAGCTCAGCCTGCTCTGATCCACCCCTCCCAGTGCTCCCACACGTGTCCAGCTGCTGGGGAGACACCGACCCATCCCATCGTTCTGCTCTGACCAAGCACTGCTGGCCCCAAAATGGACCCTGTGGCTTTCCTGGGATTTGGGATCACCACACCCCTGTCCCAGGAGCCAGCAAGGGCTGGAGCATTCCCCAATTCCTGCTCATATCCATGCCCCTGGACTGAGGCTTTGCTCCCTGGCCTTGCCCTGTCCCACCTGGATTTAAACACCTGCAGGGCTCATTCTTCACAGGGACACTCAGGACTCCACCCCATCCTGGTTTGGTTTCCTTCCACTCCATGAGCAGTTTTCCATTAATTCCTTTGCCTGTGTGCCTTCACAAATCACCTGGCTGAGTCATGACACCAGTCCAGAATTCTCAGAATTTCCACAAGCCAAAGTTTTCTCACTTGGGAAGACTCCGACCCTGGAAGTGAAACTCTGAGGAAATGTGAGCAGAATGGAAAAGGTTTGGGGTGAAATTGAGGAGTTTGGGCAGAGCCCAATCCCCACCCCCATCCCCTGTCCCTTTGTGAAGAACCTGAGGCTGCCCAGCCCCCAGATGAAATCCCAATTAAAGCTCCCTCCTCTCTGCTCTGGAATTCTTCATCCCAAAAGTGCTCCTCGTGTTCCAGGGCAGCTGGAATGTGGCAGCTTCTTCTCACTCCTGCCCACAATGCCTCAAGGAGGGGGGATAAGCAGGAAGAGCAGAAAGTTGGGATACTTTGGGGATCTCAGCAAGACAATTCTGAGTGTCCCTGAGTTTCCCTGTGGTTGATCCCATGCTTTGGGTGCTCTGCAGGTACGAGGATGAAATTCGCCTCTGCAGTGGGATGGAATTCACCTTCATGGAGCTCAAAAAGGTCAGCAGGAGGGGAAGTTTCCCACTGGATGGGCTCTACCCAGCCCTGCACAGGCAGGGAAGGGCCTGGAGGTAATCCAGGCTCGGCTGGTTTGGGATAACAAGGTCTGGAGGAGGACAGGGAGGGGATGAGTCCTAATTCCACAGGAGGATGAGTCTGGAGTGGCTCCTGAAAATCCCCTGACAGCACCTGGGGATCAGAGCATCCCCATCCCTGCACCCTGGGATTTCCCTGGCCTGAGGGGTCCAAACCCTTCCCCAGCTGCCTCCTCCTCCCTGTGTTCCCTCTGGGTGCCATTAGGCTTGGGAAAGGCTGGAATTGATAAAGGATTTCCTTTGTTCCCTGCAGAGGGGCCACGCCCTGGGCAAACTCAGGCAAAGCTCCCACTCCAGCAGGAGCCAGTGGGAATCAGCTGGAGTTGGGATTTTATATCAAAACCCACAATTTGGGGGCAGGATAAGGGTGTTGGAGAGAGGAAATGTTCCCCACAAATATCCATCCGGGCTAATTCCATGTTTTCCCTGGCACACTCCCCAGGAAAGGCATTCCTGAACACTTCCATGGATGGCTCCCGAGTTTTCAACAAGTGAAGCCTTTTGTGGGGAACAAAAGTTGGGAGGGGATGGCCCAGCCCTGCCTGGCCCAGCAGATCCTTCCTCCAACAAGTCCCACAAAACAAAGGGAAAAGGTTCTCAAAGGAGCCTCCCCAGCTGGAGAGCAGCTCCAAACATCCCTGTTAATAAAGCTGGGAATGTGTTGGGTGGAAGGAGCTCATCCCATGGGCAGAGACTCCTTCTCCTTCCCTGTCCAGGGTGCTCCAAGCCCTGTCCAACGTGTCCTGGAGCACTGCCAGGGACAGAGCAAGCAGGGCACTCCCTGGGGATGGGGAGCAGTGGGAGTGAGTGGCTGTGAATCCAGGTATGGACTGATGAATCCCTTTCCATCCATGCAGGATTTGGATGTGAGCACCTTGCACCGCACGGAGCTGGAGGTGAAGCTCAAAGGGCTCCAGGAGCTGCTGGAGCTGAAGAAAACCATCTATGAGCAGGTGGGAACACACCTGGAGAGGGCTGGGATGCTGTGGGAAACTTGGCATTTTGGGGACAGATCCTGGATTTCCACCCACGTGGGAGCTTGGCCAGGGTGTCACAGCCATTCCAGTGCTCAGGCAGGACCTGAGGAGTTGATCCCTCCCCTAAAAACAACGTTGGAATGGGGCCAGAACATTCCTTATGCCCCAGAGCCTCTGCGGGGGCTTGGGGTCCCCTCAGAACAGCCGAGAATTCCAACCTCATCCCAAACTGGCTGCTGGGGCTCAGCTCCTGCCCCCAGGGATGGGGTTTGCCCCAGACCTTGGCCCAGGTGAGCCAAATGTTCAGACTCCAGGAAGAACCCAAAATCCAGGACACCTGGAGAACCTGGATGCTCTGAAACACAGTCCAGCCTCCTCCTTTGCCAGGAAAATGAGGGGTCCCCAGCAGGAATGGCTGCAGCCAGGGGGAAGGGCCTCCATCAGAACACTGACTCAGGCCTGGAAAATGTCACCCAGCAGGATCAGCAGTGTGGGAACACTCAGGATTTATCTAAATTCCAGCAATCCAAACAGTTACAATGCCTGGTGGAGGAATATGAACATTCCATGTGGGAAACTGAGGCAGGGAGAGGCTGGAGCTGCCTCCCAGCACAACTCCCTGATCAGCTCTGAAATGAGATTATTCCTCATGCAGGGCAATTTTAGCCCAGTTTTTATGGAAATCAGGCCCTGCTCCAGGGTCTCCACCTGATTTCACATGGGTCCCACAAAAAGCTGTGGTTTTTAACCCCCAATTAATGTAAAAATCTCATCCCCAACCTCTCCTGTCTCACCTTCTCTGTGGATTCGATGACATCAAGTACAGGCACGTTCTCAAGGGGAGGGAAAATGAGGTAAACTTTGCTTGTTGGGATGGATCAGGAGAAAATAATTTATTAATTCTCATTAATAAATGACTAGTTTGTTATTCACCAAGTGATCCAATATTCCAAATAAACACAAATTTTCTCACCTGCTCCAAGATTAACAAAGAATTAAAGGATTAAACAGCCGCGGGATAAAATCTCCCAATCATCCTGCTTTTTGGGATATGTCTGTGTTATCCCTCAGGCACAGAGCCTTTTGTGAGCCCAGCCAGGGAAGGGAAGGGATCAAGGAACACAATTCCTGCTCCAAAGGGACCTGAGCACAAAGGGAAGAACAAAGGAAGGGGAGGAGAAGAAGGAATTCCTGGTGCAAAACAGGAGCTGTGCCTGAGATAAGGGAGCAGCAGCTCTGGAGCACACTGGATCCAACCTGGATCCAGGGACCCTTCCAGGTTCAGGGAGGGGAATTGGCAGCTGTGACTTATCCAGAGCAGATATCCTGGTGGTGGTCCCGGGGTGCTCCTGGCTCCCTCCACACTGGCATTCCCAGGACAGAGGAGTGGAGCAGCTCTGCCAGCCTACCGGGAAGGCTCCTGGTTCCCTGAGTAGCCTAAATCAGGCTCTGGCATCACAAAGAGCAGCCCCAGCCTCACTGGATCCCACAGCAGAGTTTGGGAAGGGCATTTTCCAGCCTCCCCAGGCTGTGGAGTGATCGACGCTGCCTTTGTTTTCCCAAAACTTTCCCATTCAGCATGGATATCAGAGGATATTGGTCCGTGATCATCAGCTCCAGCTCTGCTCCTGGGAATGACTGACTGGACAAGAGGAAATGCCAGGGATGGTTTAGGTTGGATATTAGGGAAAATTCCTTCCTGGAAAGGGTCGTTCAGCCCTGGCATAGCTGCCCAGGGCAGGGGTGAAGTGCCCATCCCTGGAAATGCCCAAGGAATGTGTGGATGTGGCACTTGGGGATATAGTCTGGGGTGGCCATGGCAGTGCTGAGGAACAGTTGCAATCTGGTGATCCTACAGGTCTTTTCCAGCCTTAAGGATCCCAGGATCCTCCCTGCTCCTGGACTAGTCCAAAGGCATGCTTTGTCAGATTTTACCAGTTTGTATCCAAAGATTCCAAACCCCAACTTAACCTGAGTCTGGATTTTATGGAGCAAATAATACCAGATCCCCAACTCCAGAGAGTGAAAACTTGGGAATTGTCCCCCTCTCCACATGGAAGCTGTTCTGCCAAGCACAGCCCACCTGGAGCTCTCTCTGACTACTGGAGAGTAGTCAGAATCTTGGAATGGGAATCTTGGATATGACCAGATGCTGGGAAGAAGTTCTTCCCTGTGAGGGTGAGGAGGCCCTGGAATGGATTTCCCAGGGAAGCTGTGGCTGCCCTGGGTCCCTGGCAGTGCCCAGGCCAGGCTGGACAGGGCTCGGAGCAGCCTGGGACAGTGGAAGGTGTCCCTGCCATGGCAGGGGTGGGATGGGATGAGCTTTGAGGCTCCTTCCCACCCAAACCATTCCATGAATTTCCAGCTCCATGTTCTCTTCCCTGTTGTCCCCTGGCTCTGCAGGAGCTGGAGGAGCTGCTGACAGAAATCAAGGACATTTCCGTGGTGCTGGGAATCGACAGCTGCTCCCGGCCGGACCTGGGCAGGATCGTGGAGGACGTCAGGGCCCAGTACGAGGCTCTGGCCCTGCGGAGCTGGGAAGAGGCCGAGGCCCTCACCCGGAGGAAGGTACCAGATCCCTGCTCCGTGCCGGGAGAGGCAGGGAAAGGACAGGAAGGATTGGCCTGGAAACAGCTGGATCAGCAGGGATGGGAGGGATGGGCTGGGAAGGGAGGGAGGGACAAGGCACTATCTGTGATCAGCTCCAGACAGTAAATCCAGAGTTTTGTTACTCTGGGCTTTCCACACTGGAGGAACCCAGGACATCTCCCAGTGGAGATGGAAATGTCCTTCCAGCTCTCCAAAGAGCAGGAATGTGGCTGATCCCGGGAGCCAGGTGAGCCTGGCACAGCCACAGCCAGAGAGGACAGGAACGAGCCCCACATCCTTCCCCAGGTAATCCAGGTGATGCCAGGACACCCCTCCCTCTCTCCACAGCTCACCGACAGCAGCTCCCAGCCCGGCTCCTTCGGGGGGCACCTCCTCGACAGCCGGCGGGAAATCGCGGATCTGAACATCCGCATCCAGAAACTGCGGTCCTGCATCGTGTCCCAGAAGAGCCAGGTGTGTCCTGGGTGGGATAACGGGACAGGGCTGTGCTGGGATAACGGGACAGGGCTGTGCTGGGATAACGGGACAGGGCTGTGCTGGGATAACGGGACAGGTGTGTCCTGGGTGGGATAACGGGACAGGGCTGTGCTGGGTGGGATAACGGGACAGGTGTGTGCTGGGTGGGATAACGGGACAGGTGTGTGCTGGGTGGGATAACGGGACAGGTGTGTTCTGGGATAACGGGACAGGGCTGTGCTGGGATAATGGGACAGGGCTGTGCTGGGATAACAGGACAGGTGTGTGCTGGATGGGATAACGGGACAGGGCTGTGCTGGGTGGGATAACAATCAGACAGGTGTGTGCTGGGGTGGGATAACAGGACAGGTGTGGAATTCCCTCTCCCAAGCCCCTTCAGCTCCCTTTTCCACACTTCAGTGCCTGTACCTGGAGGAGCACATCCGTGAGGCTGGTGAGCAGGGGGAGGGGACCCTCAGGGACGCCAAGGCCAAGGTGGCCGGGCTGGAGGCGGCCCTGCAGCGCAGCCGGGAGCACATGGCTCACCTGGTCCGAGAGTACCAGGAGCTCATGAACATCAAACTGGCCCTGGACGTGGAGATCCTCACCTACAGGAAGCTCGTGGAAGGGGAGGAGAACAGGTGAGCCAGGATTCCTCTGCCTCAGGTGGGGAAAGGATGCACCAGGATACCTGGGGGGATGGAGACATCATGGAATCATAGAATGCTTTGGAACCCAGTCCCACCCCCTGCCATGGGCAGAGACACTTTCCACGGGCAGGAACTCCTCCCAAAGCCCAGGTTGCCCAAATCCCAAGTTCTGAGTCAGGTACTGAAGGTTTGGTCAAAGAAGGAGCAAATCCTGGTGGTTCCCAGCAGTTCAATCCCATTTCTTGCTCCCAAGTCTTCCTCAGACTCCCCAGGCTGAGGTTCCAGACCTTCTCCAGGTGCTGTTGAAGCCCATCCTGGCCCTACCACTATCCCAACTCCCCCAGGCCAACTCCCAGCCCTTTTCACCCTTCTGGGAGAGCTCAAGCCGTGTCTCACACTGTGTCCTTCCCTTCCCAGCATGGAGCAGCCCATTCCCACCGTCATCAGCGCTGTCCACTCCCGGCCCAAGCCTCGTAAGTGCTTTGATCCCTGTGATCCAGGGGATGGGGGAATGGATGGAAGGATTTTAACCTTCCCCCCTCTCCCAGTTTCTGCCAGCACCCTGCGGAACTCATGGCTCTTTGCCCGGGGCTCGGGGGACACGGAGCCGAGCGGAGGCGGCCCCGGGAGCCCGGGGAGAGCCCAGGACCTGCCGGGGACTCCAGGCACCGGGACCCGGCCCAAGTTCAGCTCCGGGGCCCTCGGGGAGTGTTCCTAGGAGAATGGGATGAACATGGATCCAAAGCACCTGGGAAGCTCTTCCTCCTGAACTCCAGCCCACATCCAAGGGGTGAAGGATGAGGGTCCTGTCCAGGCTGTCCCTTGGCTTTCCACCATCCCAGTTCACAGCTCCATTCCCAGTTGCAGCAGGAACCACCCCAGGACTTTAGGGACTCTCCCATTCCCTTCTCCTTCCTCTCTACGGCTCCCTTCCCAGAGGATTTGCAGTCACCCCTTGGAATGTGCCCAGCAGGAGGGAAGTGTCCCTACCCCACTTTTAGCAGCTGCCATCGGTCCCTTTACTGGTGTTGACAAACCCTTTCCCTGCTCTGAGGGTGGTCTCTGGCAGGGCTTCCACGGAAAGCACCATCCAAATTCCACACTGGGGCAGAGGGAGGAAAACAACCCCAGGGATGGATTTGTCACCTGGATTGACAGATCTGGTGACACCCTGGGGCACCCTTGGCCACCTCAGGGCATTTCCCTGCCTTTGGGGGGCCCCTCATTCCTTCATCAAAGCTAAAATGCCTCAAAACTCTTGATTTCCATAATCCCTCCCTCTCTCCAGGCTCCACACAGCAGTTCCAGCTCCTAAAGTCGGGGTATTGGTTCCTATTTAACTGCCCTGGGAACAGCCTGGTTGGGGTTGGGAGGGACCTCAAAGCTCATCCCATCCCACCCCTGCCATGGCAGGGACACCTCCCACTGTCCCAGGTTCTCCAAGCTCCATCCAGCCTGGCCTTGGGCACTTCCAGGGATGCAGGGGCAGCCACAGCTGCTCTGGGAAATCCATTCCAGGGCCTTACTCCCCTCATAAGGAAGAATTCCCTTCCTAAAATTGAATCCAAATCTTGCCTCTTTCAGCCTAAAGCTGGAAAATTCCCTTGCCTTTGTATTTATTGACCTCAGCTTGTACCTGGCCCAGCTGCCCCCACTGGCCAATCCCAATCCCGATGCCCCAGAGCTCCCAGAGCCAGCCCTGGAAGTGCCACGTGGCCACAGGTGGGGGATGCTGTGGCCTCTTCCCAACCTCACCCAGAATCCTGCAGTATTTTCCTTCCTGGCCCCAGCCACTGCCACTCAGCTCCCCCGAATTCCCAGATTCTGGGTCCCCATTCCCACATTCCCGTAGGATAGGAAGCACAGCTCTGGCTCGTGGGGTTTGGCTGTTACAATAAAGTTCTGTCACTCAGAATCCATCCTGTCCTTGGTTTTCTCTCAGCTTCCCACCACAGCTGGAGCAGCAGCTCCTTCCCAGCAGGACTCACCTGGGGACTCTGGCTGGGTCCTGGCAGCCAGGTGAGGCTGGAATCACTTCCCAGGGATTGGCCTGGGCACATCCCCGGGAGGAAGGGTGAATCCTTAAAACCAAAAATCAACAAGACTCTCTAACTATCAAAGGTAGAAAGTGGTAAATCATGGTTCAAGGGCACAGGGCCAGAGGGGCAGACACGGGGTGGGATCCAAGGCCTTGGGGACCAAATTTGGGAATGAGGGGAACACAGTCAGCACTGCTCAGCTTCCCCTTCCCATACTCTTCCTGCCCCTCTCCAAAGGGGAATTCCTGTACCTGAGCACCCATTTCCCTGCAGCCCCTCATTCCAGAGGTGTCCTTTTAGTGCTCCTTTATCCCCACAGGGACTTTCCTGGGAGATCCAAACCAGACCAGGTTCCCTGGGGTGCTGGAGGACCCAAATCTGGGAGCAGTTTTGCTGTTTGCTGCTCACCTGAGAGACACTCTGCCCTTCCAGGGTCAGCTTCCCCTTCCCAAACTCCTGCACACCCATCTCCAAAGGGGAATTCCTGCACACCTAAGCCATCCTAGGCACCCACATTTTCCTACAGCCCTTCATTCCAGAAGTGCCCTTTTGGATCACAGATGCTCCCTGTTCCCCTAGGGGACTTTCCTGGGAGATCCAAAGCAGCCCCACAGTGCCAGAGGACTCAAATTTGGGAGCAGCTCTCCAGGTCCAGGGCAGGGGATGGGAGATGGAGGATGGGAAGGACATTCCAGACCAGAGGAAAGAGTTCCATCCAGTTTCCCAGCCTGGCAGGATGGGGAAGGGGGGTCTCTGAGCAGTTTGCAGTTGCTCCCAGTTGGGTAGGGTTAGTGCAGGGCTGCACCTGGAGCCAGGAACCTGCAGAACATTTGGGAAAAGTCCTCGGAAAAAGCCTTTGGAAAAAGCCCTTGGGTAAAGCCCTTGGAAAAAGCCCTTCCAGCCCAAGGAACAAAGCAGGGTCTCTGCTCAGAACAGCCCCATTCCCAGGAGCAGGAACAGGGCTGGTGTTGCCCAGGATGAGGCTGGAATGGGAGCCTGGGACAGCCCAGCTGGGGGAACTCAGGGAAGGCTGGGGCTCAGCTGAGATTTTCCTGCTGCTTTTCCTCCCTGACCTTGGATTTTGGGGATTTTTTTGCTGTTTCTGAACCTTCACCACCCATGGGATTGGGAGAGACCCCTGAGGCCACAGCAGGGGATTAAAGGATTGAGATTTGGGATTTTGGACACATTCCTGGACTCATGTCCCTGTTCTGGGACAAACCCAACCCAGCACTCCCCTGTGCCACTGCTCCCAGCCTCAGTTCCCGAGGGCACCAGGGAATGGCTCCATCCAGCAGAATTCCTGCCCTCCGTGAAGGGAGCTGAGCTCTGCCTGGGATGATCCATGGCTTCGGGAGGCCCATCCTGCCCCCTCCACCACCCCTCCCTCACTGGGACCCAGCCTCTTCCTCAGGGCAAATTCCCGTGGCTGTTCTCATCCCAGAGTCACAACCAGCCCCAGTTCCAGCTGTAAATTCCCCCGGGAATTGCTGCAGGTTCCAGGCAGCACCATCAGCTCAGGATGCCCCAAAGAATCCCTATCCCAGCCCTTCAAAAAAGGTCCTGGCTGCACCCCCATGTGTCCAGATCAGTGCTGTCAATCCAGAATAACACACACTGGATTTACCTTTATTTAGGGATAGAATGTGAAAAAAAGGAGGGAAACAGAAGGATGCAGTGGTGAAGAGCAGCCCCAGAAAGTGCCAGGATTGTCACATCCCCAGTTTTGGCTCAAAATGCTACAAAATCCCACCTGGCTGCTTCCTAAAAATTCCTAAGGACTGAAAGGATCTTGAATTTGGGTGGGGGTGGGGGGGGGGGGGGGGGGGGGGGGGGTGTAGAAATTGATAGAAAAGCTCGGGTTTTAAGTCAAAAAGGGATGGTTGTGTGATGGTTAGAGGGTGCTTGGGGGGGTGGAAGCATTGCTCACCTCCTCAGATCCACGTAAAAAATGGATCAGGGCCTGAGGATTGCTAGGAAAAACAGGGTTAGGGAGGGTAATTAACTAATAAATGGGAATTAATGGGACAATTAACAGCACTCCCCCATTTATGGCTCAGTAATGGTGTTTTATGGCCAGTTCCAGTGATCCCCTTCAATCAGCCACCCCTGGGGTGCCGGGGCACATTCCCCAGGGGGATTTGGTGAGAGCATCTGTGTTATCAAGGGATATTTATCCCTCTTATCTGCCAGACCCCTCAGGAATCCACGGCCCAGCCTCCTCCAGGCCATGCAGTATCAGCTCCAGCCGCTCCCAAGGATGATCCCATCCCTGCCTGGAGCCTCTCCAGGACTGGGCACGTCAGATGTCCTGGAGGTCTCGGACATGAGACATCCCAGGGGCAAATCCCGGGCTGCTGGCAGCGGGGGCTGCGGGGATTTTGGGAAGAGCAGCAGGGACTCCTGCAGGGAGTCCTGGCCCAGGGCCCGGAGGCGGGAGCGGCGCCCGGAGCGCATCCCGGGATCCGCGCACCTGGAGCGGCCAGGAACGAGCTCCGGGCTCCCCCTGCCGGGCAGGTGAGGCCGCTGCAGCGCCTCCCCAAAAATCCCAACAATTCCCGGCTTCCTTCCACAGGCCCGGCCTGCAGAGAAGGGAAACGGCTCCCAGGGAGCGAGGCACGGGGGGGACCCTAAAGGGGACCCTAAGGAAGGAGATCGTACAGGGAATCCTACATGTGATCCTACAGGGAATCCTACAGGGGATCTACATGGGATCCTTCAGGGGACCCTAAAAGGGATCCTAAAGGTGATCTATACAGGATCCTACAGGGGACCCTCAGGAGATCCTAAAGGGAATCCTACAGTGGACCCACATGGGATCCTACAGGGAATCCTACAGGGGATCCTGCAGCCCAGAGCAGCTGTGGTTGTCCCATCCCGGGCCAGGCTGGACGGCCTTGGAGCACCCTGGGATGGTGGGACCTGTCCCTGCCCACTGCTGTAAGGTGTCCCCACATGAACCATTCCATGGTTCTGTGATCCAAAAGGGTTTCTCATCCATC